GTAATAATGTGCGTTTAGACCTAAGCTATCTGGGCATATGTTGCATGTCTGTATTTTATGTCATAAATGTAACCTTGTGTATTTTATTGTATTTTACTGTCTTTTTGCTGCCATGTGTTCAATGGAGTTTTGCCTCTGTCTTTGGAGATAATTGGATTACTTCACAATTATCTCCAGGATAGAAGACTCTGTGGAACTGGTTTTGGGCAGAAAAGCCATGCTTCCTGTGGTCACAAAGGACTACGATCTATCTTTTGAACCACTGGACCAATTTGTATGATTTTGACGTATGTTTGTATTTGGAGTATGCTGATTCTGAAAATGTAAATGTGAATGTGATGCATACTTTTCAAGTTATGAATAATGTGGAAAAATTGTATTTCTCTGCTTGTGCTAAATTACATTACCCATTGTGTAAGGTAATTGAATCACAAGCAGAGGGGAGGAATTTGTGTGGGAGTGTCTGAGTGTATTGTATGTGTTTATTGGTTGTGTTCCAAAGCCCTGTGGGTGGTACTAATGTGTAAGAATGTGTACATAAGCACAATAAACCCACAGCTCTGACTGTTCACTGCTTGACCCTCAACACGGAGCTTTGTCTCGTTCTTTGGGGGATTTACTGTATGCTGTTCCAGTTTGACTGCTAGGAGTGTAAACCTATTCGGATGGTTTTTCCTATTCGGCTGTTTACAGCATTCATTTGGTTTCCTGTTCGGCGGATTGGTGTTCTGCAGTAGCTTTGCCTGCATCTCTGGAAAGGGGGACGATCGCCTAAACGTTTTTTACCCCTTATGTGCAAAATGGTCCGTTACACACACATTCACAGACACACATACACACACACTCACAGACACTCACACACATACACAGACAGACACACACACATTCACAAATTATTATTTTTTAATTAAAAATTGTCCACCCAGCCTCCCTACCTGGAGAGCTGGCGTGGACTTGTCCCTGGGGTCCAGTGGGTCGTGCGCCTATCTCCAGATCCCAAGCAGCGAGGGAGCTGTGTGCTCTCTGCTTCCTCTCACCGCGTGGGCTGTCTGCTGTAGCTGGGAGCCGGAATATGACGTCATATTCCGGCTCCCGCCATCAGCAAACGGCATGCGGCGAGAGGAAGCAGAGAGCACTCAGCTCCCTCGCCGCTTGTTGTATGGAGATAGGTGCCCGACCGGGGGGGGTGGGGCGTCCATCACCTCCTGCTCCCCCCCCATGACAGGGGGAACACGGGGGGAGTTCATTTGGGGGCGGCAGAGTGCCTGCAGGAACAGCGGGAACGGCATTCCCACGCGTTCCTGCAGGACTCACAGGCGTGCCGCGGGGATTAGGCACGCCTATGCCTACACTCTGGGGATTGCTATAATCACTATACTCCTCAGAGTAAGCTCTTGTAAGAGCTTGTTCCTGTTCCTGTTCCTGTTCCTGCTCTCTGGATTTAAGAGAGATCTGACTATTGGAAGCTGGTCCCTGGTCTTGAGCCCAGAGTAGGAGGTAGACGGTGAGACCCCAACCAAGCTGTGGCGGTTCATGGGGTCTGCCGTGGTTGTGGTGTCTAGTGGAGTGCTTGGAGCCCTCGGGAAGCACAAGGAGCATCCATCAACGGAAGGTACCCAGTCAGGGTGCCAGGCGTTCCATTACAAATACCATCACTTCTTCCTGCCTGCTCAAAGAAGAATTACTTCGGAATGTACCTATGCCTGTAATGGTACCATAGTCCGAAAATAGGACTTACAAATGTTCGAGAAGGCATTGCAAGCCACAAACTCTACTCCTGCTAAGAAGTACTTACTACCTGTAACAGGATCATCGAAGACCTTGATCTATCTCCAGTGGTACCAGAAGCTGGTACTATGGAGTCCCATGCTGTTCAAAGACTCCGCTCTGGGGACTTCGATTACAAGGACTATCTTAGTGATAGTGACACTGACGAAGTGGTGTACTGTCACTCTAAAGAACCTGTTCACGCCAAGAGGGCGTTCTTAAAGGGGAGGTCCTGTCACGGTTCTCACCGTGACATCCAGGCGTGGCCTTTCCACATGTGCCAAAAAGGGATTTGTACTCTGGACTCTTGCTGTCTTTTCTCTGAGCCACACTTCAGTTCATGTCTCTGCCTGATATCCTATCCTGCCTTGTCTGCAGCACTAGGGGACTGGACTTTACCTGTGGCTGCTTCTGTCTCTCTATGCCCACCTGAGGATGATAGCTCATTAGCAAGCTATTTAAACCTTCCTCTCCATGAGAACATTGTCAGTTCTTTGATTCTGCTTGTGTCCTTTTCTGTACTGCGAATCGATGCACCTTTCATGCACAGTCCCTGTGCATAGATTCACTGTCCTGGTGGTTTCTAACCTTATCATCTTGAACTGTGTATATCTGCAAGGGTGAGCATAAATCTCTGCCTACTGGACTCCCACCTCTGGTAAGACCATGGCACTGGGTTATTTGGAGGCCTTGTCTGATGGCCAAGCCCAGAAAATTGTTTCCCTCAATATATTCAAGCAATGATTTGTAAACCTAGAGGATATGAGGCACCGCAATAATCTGAATATTAGGGTCATATTGGAGAACATACAATCGGCACAGCTTTCACATTTTCTTTGCCAACTGATGATGGCCTTGCTGTCGTCAAGAAGGGCCAAGAACATCATATTTGAGGCTGTCTTCTATCTTATGTGTCCCTAAACCACAGAGGGCTCCAGACGTGGTACCTAGAGACCTGGTAGTGCACTTCCAAAGCAGCAGAGATAAGACAGCAGTACAGTTGGCCCTCAAGGGAACATCTCCCTAAGCTTTGAGAATATGGAACTTACCTTTTATGCAGATCTCTCTGGTGGCACATTGTTGTGGCAGAGATGACTCCAACCATTCATCACAGTTCTTAGGGTAAGCGGTTTAGCTACAGTGCCTATCCAGGACTCCTCTGGTCATACATGGTGATTCCTCCTTCCCAATTCAAGATCTGCAAGGAGCAGCTGCTCTCCTGTAGACCTTTGGCCTCCCACAGGACTCTCCACAACAGACTCGGTTGCAATGGGCTACTGTGTCGGCCAACAGATGGGACCAAGCAAATGTAACCCTATTTATACCTCAGCGGGCCTGATTGGATGCTTATGCTGTGGACAACTTGGGCTGTAGATAGTTGATAGTTTGCTTTATTTTCATATACTTAATATTTCTGTTTTATTGACCATGATGATGCACACCCCGCACTCAGACAGGTTGGTTATATGGCCATTTTTCCCCCACGCATTAAACCACATTCATTCATGGATAATACATCTTTACAAGGCCTTGAGGCGTAAATATTATATGGCTTGCAGCCTCCTGACCAGGGTGCAAGAACCTTCATGCAATGGTCCATGATGGCTGGGAGGCTTATTCCGATTTTTGATTATTGCATTACTCCTTACGATCCACAGTATGCTGGTTATCACACATGACACGTTAGAGATTCCTATACTTCATAAAGACCAGCTTTAAAGTGCCAACAAGGGTCTTCTATTAATGCCTTCTTATTCCGGCAGCTGGCATGTCTGTGTTGATAACTTCTTCACCCTTTTATATAAACAAAACCCTCAGCTAACCTGAATCTTTACTACTGTACATTAGGTTTGTTTGTCTGTTTCTCTATTAATGTTTCACTTATATATTAGTACCTGTACAAAGAAATGTTTTCTCAAACCAGTGAGTTGATTATAAATAAAGAATTAAAAAAAAACAAAAATCAAGCATAACCTTTTTGTTTACTAACATATTATTAGAATATACTATCATAACTTTATATTTTGGCTTTTTAAATGATTTAATATTTTTGGATAATCTTTTTAAATGATTAAAAGGGAAACTAGGTGCCCAGACCACTTCAGATTATTGAAGTGGTCTGGGTGCATATTCCCAGGTCCCTTAACCCTCTAAAGGTAATTATTGCAGTTTTTAATTGGCTTCAACAATTACCTTTTATGGGTTAACTCCACCTCTAGTTGTTGTTTAACAGATAGCCACTAAAGGGATTTCCTGGACGCCCTCATGCTATACTATGATGCTTCCTGCGTCACCAAAACCCCAGAGGAAAGAATTGTATAATGATTTCCAATCCGGCTGTTCTAATGCGAGCGCAGCCATTGCCTCGCATGCGCAATAGGTCTCCCATGTCAGCTGATGTCGGCGGGGGAGGACCAAAGGCGGACCACGAGCCAGCGCTGAGGGAGATCGGCGCTGGACTTAGCAAAGGGCAGAAGGGCTTTTTTTTAACAACTTTCTTTTCCTGGCACTATAGTGTTCCTTTACTATTTAAAAAAAATATATATATATATATATATATATATATTTTTTTTTTTTTCATATATTATTTTTATTTCATATGTACAATACTTTGTTTTATATTTGTTTTTAAAATCATTTTAACAGATAATCCAGAAATATTAAATCATTTGAAAAGCTTACTAAAAATATTAAATCAATTCCCATTTATCCGATAACATATATCATATTAGTATGTGAGCTTGACCTCTTTCACAACCTCAGAAAAATGTATTCCAATGTTCCATGCTGCAGATGAGGTGAATACAAACTATCTTCCAAAAAAAATATGTAATGAAACATGGTTAAACCACAACCCTAGTAACAAAATTTTGGTCCTATGAGCCACTGCAAGTATTATGGTATCATGCACACCTCCCAACTTTTCAGGTAGGACACTTTAATTTTAGCGGTGTGAGTGGGAGCGTGGCCCGGTGGTGGAGCTGTTCTGAGTAATTTTACATGACTTACTGATAACAATTTATAGAACTAAAATGTAATTTAGAACAAAAACAATGTATCTTATTTACACAGATTGATTTCTAAACACATTTATTGTAGTTTAAAGACACATTACTGGGAGTATTATGGCAGTGGAGCTCTGTTATACACTCAGACACACCAACAATATGGAGCTCCTAGAAAAGAGAATTTGGGTGCAAAATAGGGACTGTCCATCCTAAATAGGGACTCTTGGGAGGTATAAATTGGTCTCACAACTAGACCTTTGTGTATAAACCTGCACTTTATCCAAAACATTTCTAACTCACCGTGTTATTGTTGATAGCAGGATTTGTGGCTGAATTCAAACACCTGTCTTAAACTGACTTCATCATGCTAATTTTATCAGTCATTCTTTTGTTTTGTTTTTGTTTTTAATTGTAGCACAATGTCTATCTACCATAGTTAGCTAAAAAAGTCCGATTTTAGTATATATACTTATAGGTTCTGCAGTTAAAAAAAAAGAATTTTTGCCATCCACAAATATGACAAAATGTGACAAAATTAGCCTCGTCATCATAGCCGTCATCCTGCAGAGTAAGGCAAGCACATCAGTAAAAAAAAAAAAAATTGCATTGTGTTGTGATTCTTATTTATCCACTAGTCGGAGCTCTAAGTATACCAACAGCTATAACAACTACAGTCCTTACCATTATTTTTTCTTTGGTATCACCCAAAGACCCCCCAACAAGTGTTTTATGTGTGTGTGTGTGTGTGTGTGTGTGTGTGTGACTGAGTTTTGTGTGTGTTGGTAGTCGTGTGTGTGGAGGAGGCTGAGAACTGTATTTGGGGGTAGGCTGAGTGTGTGTAGGGGCTGACGTGTGGGGGAGAGTCTGAGTATGGCTGAGTTTTGTGCTTGTGGTATCTGAGTGTATGTATAGGGGCTGTAGTGTGTGTACACAGGTAGTAGCATGTATGTAGCAAGCGTGTGTTTTTTACAGGGACTGGGGTGTACTGTGTGTTTGATTAGGTAATGTAGTGTGTGTGCAACTACTGGATGACCATCTTGCAGCTTTCAAACTAATAGGAAGGGAAAGCCCTTTGCTGCTGCTTTACTTGCTGAGGCACCTCTGATAGAGTGACCTTTAAATACAGAAATGTCAATACCAGCCAAGTCCTAACAGAAAGAATCCAACCTATATTAACCTTGGCTGAACAAAAGGATTTACTCAATGTAATAAA